TTTCCAGCTAAAATATCGTAAATCTTCGCACTTTTTAAGAGTCCGAGGTAAGATTCTCTACAGAACTAATAATATTTAAGCGAACAAGCGATTTTGAGCGATGTTATTGGCATTAACCGATTAATTTTGTAAGGATCCGTTGTGTTTTGGTTTCCGCCAMAGGTCAAGTTGATGTCAAATTTGAGACCTTGTAGCGTTACTACCAAACAATCGCCCAAGGATTTGTTTAAGCCACTCAAAGAATATCATTTCAGCATTACAATAACCATGTTTCACGTYGTTTAAAGGTTTAGCAAATTCAGAGTCGACTTTTTTGTTTACTATACTTTTTAAGGCTGTGAAAAGGGGGCTAGCGAAAAATATTATCTTTATGTGTTCTAATCTTTCAAATGAACTCAAATTCACGCAAATGGTAAATAAGATATAGTATTACAAGGGCTCAAAATGATTTATCGGATAGTGTTGCTCAGTGTTCACTTAAACATTCAAAAAGTCAAGCCAAAATTGAACGGCAAAATTAGCATATCTGGGTGCCTATAGAAAATCTTGATTTTTCCCATTTAAAAGCGATATTTGAGCAAACCAAATACCTGGCGATTCTTAGGATACATTACCCTACCTAACAACAAAATWTGASTGAAATCGATTTTTGCACCGGTGCCACGGATTTACGATTTTGTTTGATCATTACAGACATTCACTCTTAACTTGCTATTTTGTCGCGACGGTCAAATATTATATTTACAATAAAGTATTATTCATGATTATTGAGAATCATCTTGCAATGTGTTTTGATATATTTTTATTCACATAATTTACCAATATAACAAAGCACTTAATGACTGTTCCCCCGGGAAACGGTTAGTTTTTGTTTCCCTCGAATCTCAATGTTTCCCTCGGTGTACCTCGGGAAACATTGAGATTCTCGGGAAAYAAAACTAACCGTTTCCCTTGGGAACAGTCATTAAGTGTATAATGTACCACTTTGTCGTTTTAGTTTTTTGCCATCTTGAAAACCATGAGAAGCCTAGGCACTATTACACAGTGTACTAAGCGCATGCATTTCTTTTGACTAAACATATTATAAAACATATTCTAAGACTTAATGCAGGTAAAAAGTTGGAAAGATTTGTGGATTTCTAGTTTGAAATAAAACGAGAAAAAAAAAAACAGTTTTTTTTTATATGATCTCGCGATTGTGTCCGGAAAATGGTCAAAATGCGGACACCTTCACGGCTTCCCATCATTTCTTTGGAAATTTTAGAATATATGAAAGGCCGTAACTCGTTCACTATTGCACTGATTTTCATCAAATTTTGGAATTTTGCATTTCTCAACAAGATATTTCTTTCTATGTAAGTCTTATCTCATGATTATCGAATTAGGGGATTTTGCCCAGTCCCCACTCGACTTGAAACCCGGAAATGAGTTGAGATGTTTAAGCGGGTTTTCTAACGTGAGCCTCGTTTCGATGTTAGAGCATGCTCAGTATTCCCCATCAAGTGTGATTTCGAGGTGTCTCCATATCCAGAATAGGTGGGCATACGATGACATAGTTTGTTTACATCCAAAATATAAAATTCAAGAAATAAGCAATCTGAAGTCATATAATTCAAGATTATTTTAATGTCAACAAAACCTGGAAATTTTAGGGCAAACACCGTTTTACATCTCGAGATATCGGCATTTCGAAACTAAAAAATCTATAGAAAACATTCAGTGGTTGGCAAAATAATGCTGAACACGGTCATTTCTTTAGCAAACTTTGCAAATTCGGCGCTTGATATCTCTTGAAATATTTAACCAATCGGCTTCAAACTTGCAGGAATTGTTAACAGGTGTGAGTTCTTTTCATGTTTGGGCTTGATTTTCTTGTGTCTCTGACTTTTATGCAAATTTGCTAAAACGTAAACATTGGCGCCCACCTATTGTTCAGGTCGGGGAACTCAATTATCCTGTCAAGTTTCATACTTTTATCATCGCTTTGAACAATTCAACACTTTTTTGGACATTAGCAGCCGTACTAAGAGTATCTGATCGATTTTAATTCTTTGATACATGTTTTAGTTGTTACACGAAATCTCGATCATACATTGATGTGATGACCTCCGTAGCTTTGAGATTCCTGTCCGTGTGTTTTAGTTGTGTTGGCGGAGCTGATAGGGTTTAGCTATTGCTTATATTGCTGTTCAAAGCACGCAGACCCCAGAACAGAAAACAAATTTTAAACTTCATAGATGGATACACAGACTTCAGCTTCATACAGTTTCCTTATACGGCTGTATTTTAAGGGTACACTATATCATACATACTTTATCATGGAAGATCATCCATCGCATCGCTTGGTTACTCTGATTTACGTTCCTTTCTCCGATGGCATTGTAACCTCTAAACAGTAATGTCCTCTTTCACATGAATAAGGTGCAGTAGAAGCATCTTTTTGAGTAGTATTGAGTATTGAGTTTGTTACTTTCAAAATACTCAGACGACTCAGTCAACCCTATTGTTTCCTTTATGCAAATGAATTCGTAGAAATTGTTATGATTGACATTGCGTCATGCGAGGAAGACAGGAAGCCCAAGAATAGAAAGAAGAGATTGCGTAAAATAGGGCAATTTTGACAGTCACTGGACGGATTTATTTCTTTATTGGACTGTATGTAGTTCTATTACCTAGTACACATATTATTACTAGGTGTGCAAGACAATAATTAAACAGGTACCTTATTTAGAATTTTTATAGTGGATGATTATCTTTATGTAATGAACTCAACATTCTTTTTATTCAACTGCTCTATTGTTAAATTAGTATAACCATCCATGCAGGTTTTCATGTTAGTTGTAGACTTACTTGTAATAAGCAATCTTGTTTTGCTATCAAAAGCGAAACAAGTTGAATCGCTCGGCGGACCAGCCTATTCCAAAAATTTCACTGGAACTAGTACAGGCCTTAACTTATATTTCTCTTATACTGTTTTACAGCCTTGTTATTGTATTTTGATGCATTATGAGCGAAAAATCAGGAAATTTTGGTCAAAAAAAGTCACTACGCAAGCGAAACGTTCCGAGCATGCTCTATTGACATCACACGTCATTCCAATATTCTATTGAAATCGCATTAAAACCAACCTACTAGTTTTCGACAGAAAAAAAGACTTTTTCATGTCATGACAGTAGATTTATTCCCGTTTTCGATTTCATGTTCCCGTAGAAATGCCTACAATCATTTTAACATGAAACTAGTGATGAACGAGAGATATTGTTGACTTGAAACCGGCTCTCAACTTATATCTGACAGTAATAAGACGATTCTAACCTTTAAAATGGAGGGACATAAATAAAATACAACTTTTCAAGGTGCCATGGACAATAATAATCACAGATGCAAACAACATTCCATCAGTCTTTCCGTCCATTGCGCGCCATATTGTACAGAGAATTGTAACCTCAAACAAAGCTGACATGCGCATGCAAGTTATACTGGACTCTCTTTCAACGCGAGTCCTGAAGTTGGTCGTACCCAAGGAAGAATTGCAAGCTTTAAATCACTTGTTCACATAGCCAATACCATGCTTATGAAAGAGTTTCACAGCCTCTAGTGGCCATTTCTGCTTGACACAAATTACAGTTCTCTCGACATGCTCCTAAGTAATGCACGTTCTTCCTCCGCAAGTAAATTATTTTAAAAGACGCCTGGTCTTAACTTCTCTATGCCTAGTTTCTTTCCTATTTTTGTAATTGAATAGCATACAGTACTAATATTTAGCTTTAAAACTAGCGCTGGCCTTTACCAAAATATGGATACATTTCTGATTCCGTTTTTTCAGTGCTGTTTGTCGATTGTCATGGACATCATTTACATTGCACCAGCGGCAATCAGTTGCTCAGCAATCAATTCATTCTTTGTCTGTTGAGCATGCATCAGTGGTGTTTTATGGGAATTGTCTTTGTGATTCACATTAGCACCGGCTTTGACCAAAGTCTGGACAATTTTCTCGTTCCCATTCTTTGCGGCCCATATCAGAGCTGTTTGTCCCTCGTCATCCGCCGCATCTACTTCTACACGTCCGGTATCTATCAGCATCTCTGCAATGGCATCTCTGCTATTTAAGATAGCAAGCATCAACGGCGTTCTCTGGTATCTGTTTTGGGCATTAACATCTGCACCAGCATTGATCAAGGAAATAACAGTTTTCTCGATTCCATATATTGTAGCCCCAAATCAATGGAGTTCGTCCTTGGTCATCGAGGACATTCACATCTGCGCCTGCATTTATCAGTATTTCAGCTGTTTTTTCTTTGATGTTCTGAACAGCATGCATCAATGGTGAAATCTGAGACTTGTCTTTGATGTTAACATCCTGACCGGCTTTTATTACCTCATTTACCATTTGATCTCGTCCCTTTTTGGCAGCCCACACAAGTGCTGCACCTAAAACTGCTTTACTATCAGTGGCAATAGGATCTGCACCAGCGTCAAGAAGTGTTTCTGCAATGGTTTCTTTGTTATTTTCGACAGCAATTATCAATGGGATTCGTTGGCATTTATCTTTTACATTAACAACTGCATCAGCTCGTATCAAAGCATTGACAAATTTTTCGTCACCTTTTTTGATAGCCAAGGTAAGTGCAGTTTCGCCGTTGCTATCGACAAGATTTACGTCTCCGCCAGCATCAAGAAGTCTTTCTGTGATGTAGTGTTCGTTATTCTCGACAGCAATCATCAATGGTGATCTCTGGTCTTTATCTTTAGCATTTACATCTGCACCAGCTTTTATCAGAGAATTAACAATATCCCCTTTTCCTTTTTTGATAGTCAAAATCAGCGCTGTTTTGCCGTTGTTATCGGCAAGATTTACGTCTGCACCAGCATCAAGAAGTCTTTCCGTGATGTCGTCTTCGTTATTCTCGACAGCAATCATCAATGGTGATCTCTGGTCTTTGTCTTTTTTATTCACATCTGCGCCTGCATTTATCAGTACTTCAGCTGTTTTTTCTTTTTTTGATAGTCAAAATCAGCGCTGTTTTGCCGTTGTTATCGGCAAGATTTACGTCTGCACCAGCATCAAGAAGTCTTTCCGTGATGTCGTCTTCGTTATTCTCGACAGCAATCATCAATGGTGATCTCTGGTCTTTGTCTTTTTTATTCACATCTGCGCCTGCATTTATCAGTACTTCAGCTGTTTTTTCTTTGATGTTTTGAACAGCATGCATCAATGGTGAAATCTGAGACTTGTCTTTGATGTTAACATCCTGACCGGCTTTTATTACCTCATTTACCATTTGATCTCGTCCTTTTTTGGCAGCCCACAGAAGTGCTGCACCTAAAGCTTTGCAATCAATAGCCAATGTGCGCGGCAGACATCTTGGATTTTGAGCGCGCAATGTATCCTGGGAGACTGAGTACTTGTTTACGTTTTTCTCGTCGCTCATGKATCTTCATAGTTTTGTGAAGTAGTTCCTAAAATGAGCATAAACTTTGATAAACAGAAGTTCCAGGTGCYTTTTTCAAAACTCTTTTGAAGCTGCAACTATTACTGAGCTGAAGCGTTGGTTAAAATGTCGAGGAGCATCCGTTAAAGGTCTGAAAAGTGAGCTTGTTGAAAGGTAATCTGTCACACTTCGCACCTCAATTGGTCAATTATAATATCCTGTCAGAGTAGTAAACTATACTTTTCGAAACGATCTAGGTGTGAAATCTACYCAGCTGATCCAACAAGGTTTCACAATGTGATCGACCCGGATTTAATCCATTCCGACACCAGAATCTATTCTTGTAAACTATCCTAGCGTGAAAGACAACCTCCAAGATGGCATACTTTGGACTAGATCACTTCTTGGTTTGTCCAGTGGTTTTGGGGAGGGAAAAATATTTGAACATCTTGGGCCCGGGAGATTAAAACACAGAGTTGCTGGGTGATCAACATGCTTATATCAACGAACAAGATATCCAATCTCGAAGTGAAAGGTATCGTAGAGCGTACGGGAAGGATCTCAGTGTAGAGATCANGTTTTTCAATTAGAATTCTTCTGGTGTTTTGCTTAGCAGCCTTATTCCATGGGAAAACGGTTGGTATGTTATCCAAATAGGTTTTTATGCCACGGACAAAGTGTTCAGAGCAAACGCGATGACCTGTGAGTCGGCTTGAAAAGGCTGAACTTTCCCTCATTTCCTCGTCTGTTGATATTTGCGATCCACTTCTTTCTGAGCTTTTTGTCTTTTGGAAAGTTATAAAACTTTAGATGGCGTTGTTTCTTGTTATTATTAAAACAAGTGGGAACACAGCAAGAAAAACCCGGCATTGTTTTGAGGTATTGTTTTCAGGTCATTCCCTCGATTGCCGTCATTGCGAGCATGTACTCAGTCTCCCAGGATACATTGCGCGCTCAAAATCCAAGATGTCTGCCGCGCACATTGGCTATTGCAAAAGGATCTGCACCAGCATCCAGAAGTATTTCTGCGATGTTTTCGTTGTTATTTTCGACAGCACTTATCAGTGGGGTTTGTTCGTATTTATCTTTAGCATTTATATCTGCACCAGCGAGTATCAGAGCATTGACACTTTTTTCGTAACCTTTTTTGATAGCCAAGGTAAGTGCAGTTTCGCCGTTTCTATCGACAAGATTTACGTCTCCGCCAGCATCAAGAAGTCTTTCTGTGATGTAGTGTTTGTTATTCTCGACAGCAATCATCAATGGTGATCTCTGATCTTTGTCTTTTGTATTGACATCTGCTCCAGTTTTTATCAGATCGTCGACGATTTTGTCATTGCTTTCTCTTACAGCCCAAATCAGTGCTGTTTCGCCATTGCTATCGGCAAGATTCACGTCTACACCAGCAGCAAGAAGTCTTTCTACGACTCCGTCATTTTCTACGTCTCCTTCATTTTCGGCAAAATTTCTCAGACTTTTGAAAAGTCTGTCTAACTCTTTTTTTATCTTTTTTTTACCGTATGTGGTTGTAATGCTTCCAAAAAACTTTTTTCTTTTCTTTGCGTAGTACTCCACTACTGATTTTCCTCTCGGATCAACCATACTTGGATCGGCTCCAGAATCTAAAAGTGCTTCAACAACTTCTTCTTTCCCTTCGATTGCAGCATTCATCAACGGTGTTTTTCCTGACATGTCAGTAACATTTATATCTCCATTAGTGTCTATGAGTGCGACAGCTAAAGCGGTCACGGGATCATTTATGCTAATTTCTATTTTACCAGTGGTAACTGGTAAAGGTTTTCCTTCAGTGAACAGCCAGATAATTGCAGGCCAGCTTAATTTTTCAGCCTCATAAACGATGGGCGATGATTTTCCAGTTCTATCGTTTAAAGTAACAACTGTATTTGATGCTCTCTTCGATGAGATTGTTGTATTTTCGGGATGATAACTTGGAAGCGATTGTTCTGAAAAAAAAAAACACCAAAATATCAGTTGGAACGTTGGTGAAGAACATGCGACTTCGTGCACTGAATCGAACAATATTTAAGGCGTTTAGTATTTTTTCGCGATTTTGTTTGTCTAATAACAATTGACAGTATTATATCGACGCCTATTTTGTTATTTTTCTGAAGCTCGTAGGAAAACCTGAACCTCATTTCATCGTCATTGTCAGTCTCATTGCTCTTAAAAATAGCATTAGCAACCAGTGAGGTGGCATACTATATTAAACTTTAATCGATGTTATGTAGTAATACAAACGTGACGAGCTGACAAAGAGAAGTTTGTCAATTCGCTAAATAGAAATGGAGAATATCTATTAATTATTTTTTGTGGAGAGAAATCAAATTTTTCTTGAAAGCAAACTTTTGTGTGGTGCAGGTGCGGTCGCCTTGAAATACCTGGAAGGTGCATCTTTTCATCCATTAGGCGACGAGATGCCTCGTGGTATTCGTCCTCATTTATAACAATAGAAAGTTCAATTTTTGTAKTATCTTCGGGAGCACTGTTAATGAGGTCTTGATTGATGAACACGTCCTCAAGATTGTTTTTTAAAACTCCTGTTTCGTAGCTTAAAACAAAATTGAATTAAAAGCTGAGTATTCATTGGGCTACGATATAAAAACTTGCGCATGACGTCTTTGAAGCTTCGTGACCATCTTGGAAAATAAACAGCTAAGCCCTTTTTGAGGAGATAGAAACCATAGTAAATCCCCTATGCACAGGATACAAGATGGAGGTTCTTTCACACTAATTATATATGAATACATAAATAACAATAGTCCTATTGGCCTTTGGCAGGTCTTAAGAAAACATTTGATAATCGATGCTATGAATGGGGTCGCCAAGGCACGTCTCAGCGGTCAATTTTTGTTGGAAATATTAAAATGCAATGACTCTTACTCTAATGGCAATACTCCATTTTCCAGTTCCAGCCGCCATCTTGAAAGGCAGCCGCGCCTTTATATCAAAGCGAGGCAGTAGTTGAGCTTGCAATGATAGAAACCTGTAAATAATTATCTTAGGTGTGAACAAAAGGTATCTATCATTGCAGACTCAACTCCTGTCTCGCTTTAGTGCAAAGGCTTGGCTACCTTTCAAGATGGCGCCTGGAATTGTAAAATGGAGTATTATCTCACATTAGCATCTCTGCACCTCTGCACCTCTGAAGCTTTTATGCCATGTGTACCTATATACAATGCATTGTAGGACATGTTTGGGACAGAAAACTGGATATTTCGTTTGTTTTCTCCAGAAACTAATCCCACAATGCATTGAAAATCAAGTAGTGACGTAAAAGGTTCAGAAGTMTATTTGAACTTCATAAAAAGTAAGACTTTCGCATAGTCAGAATTTCACCAGYCTYCCTAWAAATTATTGTYACTTRCATTATCTAAAATAGCTAGYYAGAGCTAAAAATAATTTGTTACTTCTACAATGTTATCTCCACAATGATTTTTAGCTCTATCATTTGCTAGATTAGTATGCATAATATTTTCCTTAAATAGCATTTACCTTTTCCATACATGCTCTAAATCTTCAAGTGTTTGAATCTCTATAAGGATTTTAAAGGAGCCTTGTAGTAGCTCACGTACAACTGCWCCGGTAATCAAACCACTTGGAAAAATGGCACTGTGCAGGAGCCGTATCATCGTGTCAGGATCGTCTTGGTATCGGTGTAAGATATAAGCACTACCACCAGCCCATACCAAGACTGTCCCAGCAGCAGTCACTTGCTTTACAACACCAGTGATTGTAATAGATGCTGAAAAAAAAAAAAAAAAACACACGCACACACAACAATCAAATAAATCAAAATAAAATAACACACACACACACAAATAAAAAAATTGAACCATGAATTAACCTCGACTGATTCCATAAGTCATAGTTTTTTTCGCTCCTGGGTTTTTCGGTTTGTCGCGAAACTACCGGATGTTAAGGCTAAAATTGTTCAAATTAGTGATAGAAKCACCAAATTTSCTGTGTAATATCTTTTTRGCATAGTTAACGAAATAAAAGTAAGACCCAAGCTGGATCCATCTTTGTTTCGGAGATTTTGAGCATCGTTTTTTCCCATATAAAATGTAGGGCACCACAGGGAGCCCAATTCGAGTAAAAATACCAAAATTGAAAATAATATGGTTCTTATCTACAGAAACAATTTCTTTTAAGGTGATGTGGACAGGGTTTATAAATATCAATACCTTTTACTCATATACACATAATCTGTAAACCATTTGAATCCAAAATGCATAAAAAAATACGATACAAAGCAGCTATTTTTAGTATTTTCATTTATTGAYGTCGTAAATTGTTGTGGTGCTGTACTTTGTTTTTCATATTTATAAATTACTGAAGCTTTGAATATCTAACTGCACAGACTGTTGAACCATTTAAATATTAGTAACACATATAATCTAGTTGGAATCTAAACAACAACGTTATTGCGCAAAAAAATGAATATTATACAGTTCAGTCCTCATGGTAGCAGCTTCCTGCACATTGACACAAAGCGGTACATGGAAGGTCTGCTTTGGTGCATTTGCAGAGACCATGACAGGCTTGCTTACATCCACACC